TTGGCTTGTGGGAAAATCTGAATAGTTACCTCTCTCTTTTGTAACAAGCCTTGGCTTGGCGCCTTGATGAGGACCTGATCTGGGCTTGTTCTCTCCGCTACAATGCAATCTGGCTCGACGTTGATGTTCAATCCACTGGACCGGTAGTGTACACTTGAAGGCACGAATATATCCGCTAGTGTTTGATTTGCCTCGCTTGGCAGTGAGATAAAGGTGAAGTAAAAACTGCTTGTATCCGGCGAGAATTTTAAAGAGACCGGCTGCCCGTGTACGGAGCGGGGATAAACTCGAGCGAAGGAGCGTACCTGATTTCATAATCACAAACGGTAGCATATGCGATGTCGATGGGGAAGATATTAGTAGTGGTTATTCGGGGTAATTGTTCATAATGTGGAGTAATACTTTATCGAAGCTGAATTGCTTGCTGTGCTTTAAAGAGAGGTATTCTTCATGACGTCGCCATAGTGCTGAACTTGCACGACAAACCTTATTCTCACAAGATGGCCAATCATAAAGGAGTGAAGGGCTTACTATTTCTTTGGTATCTCCCCAGTCTGATTCGTCTTAGATTCACTTGGCATGAAGCCTTTAAGGGAAAAGCTTGATTACTTAGTGTTTTATTGAAATTATTAGGTGCAACAGTGAAACTGGAAGTTTGCCTTCCTGGCCGCAAATATATTGGGAGGTCATCTACTTAAGTAGCTGCAAGATGGCAAGGGTGGGCTATCAGAAGGCATCGTTATCTGAGGACGAGAAGCCTCCAGGGCCACGGGAGCACCATATCTGTTTCTTCTCGGTGAAGACCTATTATATTTTGCCTAGCCTAGATGAAAGGTCATCGAATAAACTATTTAATCTTTATAACTGTGGCTTCATGCCAAATTTATTAAGTGCAACTAAATTTATGGCTCCTGAATAAAGGATAGTCCATAGATAGGAGAAGCCCGAATTTCATTCTTGAAGAATTATTATTTTGCTCAGAAGTTTTTAAATAAAGCGTATTTATTGTTCTATAAATTCATCGGTAAAATAGGGAGGCGCCAAGCTATTTTTGCGGTCTACATAACTTACCAGAAATTGTTCGACATCACAATTCGCTACTAAGCAAGAGCCACATGTCTCAGATGCCGAAAGCAAAGACTTTGATAGGGATACGGCAGCCATTTCGTAAATTGCTTCGATACTACAGGGTAAAAGGTTTGAGAAGAGGTCCAACAGCTCCATTTGTTTCTCCTCGGGAACCTTTTTTCGTCGGTCTTTAGGTCTCAT